ATCACACATTGAACATGTAGTTTCCACAAGACAGAGCAAACCACGCCTGTTACAAAACATTGAACGGTTTTAGAGTTCTGCTCCGGAAAAGAGCACTACCACCAATTTCAGTCTAAGTCGAACTTGTTGCCATGGAAACGCCAAAAATATTTTATTCAGAATTCCAAAAGTACCAAAAGGCACCAGTACACCACCAGATCCATGTATGTGCCAAGTTTGGTGAAGAAATATTGAACGGTTTTAGAGTTCTGCTCCGGAAAAGACAAATGTGCACGGATGGACGGACGCACGCACGCACGGACGGACGGAGTCCATTTTAATACCCCCCGCAAAACGCGTTGCAGGGGATAATGACCACTCCCCTTCACGTAATTTATTATCATATTTTTTTTCTTATTTTTGTGTACAGAATTGGTGACCCCCCTACCTCTCCAGAACAAAATGGGTGACCACCCCTTAAAATCATCATCACCCCACCCTAGCCATAAATTATTAACAGTCCCTTACTGACCGTAAACTGAGCTATTTTAATCCCTGGCTGTTTGATGGACACATACAGATCCTGTTGACCACTGAGCTGGTTTCTGACCACAAAGCTTCTTGCTAATCATCGGTGATCATTGTCGACCACTGTGACATCCCGTTATCATCACAGATGTGACTGCCCCTCCCCTAGTCCAGCTGATCTCTTGAGGTAATCAGCAGACAACTTGATTGTATTCTACAAATCATTCAGTGCTCCTTGAGCTGCCTTCAGCAAACTTGCAAACTGTACCACGGGCTCCGATGGGTGAGTACTGGTGAGTTCCTACACTCTACAATCCAACAATGGTTACACAGGCTGATTCCAGTGAATCGGTTGAGCAAGCTGGTCACTGATTCTGGAAATGATTCTAAAAATTGATATTCACATAAACACCTCCATTATGTTTGAAGACTGTTTAACCAGGGCATAGTGTTGAAAAAACATAGACGAGATAGTTAAATCTTCTGTTTGTGTGATTATTTGGTAACATAATGTGTTGATGACAACAGAAGGTGAAACTAAAATCATGAGAAACCTCATTTCCTTTGACATTCCCTTTGAGAGATAAGTATGGATAAGTGAACCATGTTTTTTTAACTAAAATCCATCATGGTTGAAAACCATGAAGAATGGAGGACACAGACGTCCAGTGGTTGACGAGCAGAATTTTAAGGTGCACAGGTCATACCAGGACTTTGAGTCCGACAATCAATGCCTCTGTGATGCTATGGTGCAGCATCACTTGCCCCATCAAGTCATTGGTCATTGATGATCAACTGGTCGATCAAGCAACTACAAAACTGGCACTAAATGCAGCGGAATTGTATCCACTGAATCTGCTGTGGTTTATCTGACATGAAGAACAGAGATTTCCATGCACTGTATGCATTCAAGCCTTCAACAAAAGAAATGAGCATGTTTGAAAATGGTATGCTATAAATTTGATATTTTTTTTAACATTATACACTGAGGCAAAGCCTCTGTGCAAGAAAAGCTGTCTTCAGTAGAGGTTGCAATTTAAAAAATATAAAAAATGACCTACGTAATAAATGCTCACCATAAATGAAAAAATAGAAAAAAAGGATGATAAGCAGGGCAAAACTGGAATCCTAACCAAGGACCAGTGAATCATGGTACAGTCAAGGGAAAGGAAACAATTCTGCACAACATATTGAAGTCCAAAAGATCTTCTTCTACCTCATGGCAGACAGAAATCAGAAATCAGTTTTAAAAGTCACATGTATTTCACAGGATTATAGTGAGTGAGTGAGTTTAGTTTAGTTTTATGCCACACTCAGCAATATTCCAGCTATATGGCAGTGGTCTGTAAATAATCAAGTCTGGACCAGACAATCCAGTGATCAACAGCATGAGCATCGATCTGCGCAACTGGGAACCGATGACATGTGTCAACCAAGTCGGCAAGCCTGACCACCCGATCCTGTTAGTCGCCTGTTACGACAAACATGGGTTACTGAAGATCAATATTCTAACCTGGACCTTCACGGGTATTCACAGGATTATACAGTGATCCAAGGGTTGGTGATAAATAAGAAGAGAGTCTACAATAGTGATGTCCGATATATCAGGGTAATGTTATTACATGAGACTCCACTGATATATCCCACTTAAACTACATTATATTAGATATATAATTAACATTATATCATCTATAGTTATGTCAGTTTTTTTATTTGGTAAAATGTATGTTCAGAATTACTAGTGAAATACTGGCTGAGAGCAAACTTCAACAACAACAACAACAATTTAATGTAAACATAATGATTTTGTTTTGAACACCACCACACTCACCCCTCTACCCCAATTTTGGCCTAATTACTAAATAATTAATTAAAAATTGTTCAGTGAAAATGCTGGATTTCCAAATAAATTGTCTCAATTTCCCTTACAGAAAAAACCCCATTGTGAGTCATTGTGTTAGAAAACATTCCAGCCCCAATAGGTCCTTGCAAATTTTGGTAATGGCCCCAATATATGACATTAAAGAATTAAATCGAATTGGTTATAAATGATGTGTTCTTAAATATTATGACATAAGCAGTTTGGAGAAAGGGCAAGAAAAACTTGCCTTATACATAAGCTGAGCTGATACCCTACCCAAAGTTTGAAGAGAACAAAGTTCCAGTTACCATGAATTTTCAGCAAGTGAGTGGGTCAGTGAAAGAGTAATGAGCTATTAGACTTCAAGGACTTACGATTTTGCACCAGGATCCATTTTAATATCGGTTAACAAACTTGTGTATACAATTTAAGATCAACTTATGCTCTTAACCCAGCACAATAAATACCACACTAACACGAAATGTTAAAAACATACACTGACCATTAAGAAAACTCAAATTGATGGGAATTTTTCCGTTTCAGATCAAAAGCCAAATGATCAGAGTCACAAAACATCTTCTTCAGATCAGGAGAATCATTATCGAGCACACAAAGTAAACATGTGACCTGGTTTACAAAAAATAACCAAATTATACAGACATTTATTTTTTAGTTCTGTACAATGTTTTTCCCTATTTACTTCGTCTTGCTGAAAAGACAGATTGATCCGGCTTCCTGCACTGTATCAATAATGGCAAGTTTGGTCTGAAGCAGCCTGATTGACAAGAAACGCTACATTCTACATCACATGTGCTATTTGTTTCAGGAGGATAGCCATCCAAATTAAGGGTTGAAAAACTGTGTTAACAATCAAACCTTGTTCTAGCAGGTCTTGTTTACAGAAGCAAAGATCACAGGAAGAGGTGACTGATTGAGTATTGTTTTACGCAACATGAAGCAACAAGATCTTCACAAATTACTCATTTTTTGGAGCGAACCCATTCTTTAAAAGTGACAACTGCTTTAAGCACTTGGCTAACTCACTCAAGCATAAAGACAAATAAAAAGAATTCCATTGTGCAACAAGAACTTCACATATTACAGTCACATTGGGAGCGAACCCTGGCCTTCATAATGATACTGGTGAGTGCTTTAACCACTTGGCTAACAAACTCAAGCATAAAACAAACAAAAGATTTGTGGTTTTGCTTTGTGTTAACTGAAGTCTCAACATGTCTGTGAAAAATACCAATTTTTTTAAGACATACATTGAGTTACTGACAGAATTCTACATCAGAGGAGAATGGGGAGGATTTAAACTGCAAAATAAACCCAAAACTGAGGACTGAACCTACATAAAACATATGTCATATCAGAAAATACACAAAGATATGAAAATACGCTTGGAGAGGTCAGCATAGACTAATGCTTAGTCTCTGAATATATACTGAGAGAAAGAAATAAGGATCACAGGACAATGCAAACGTTCCTTTATTATTTTCCAGTTTTCATCACTACAGCGCTATTCAAAGCTGGTGATGAAAGCTGGAAAATATTAAAGGAACACTTGAATTTCCATGTGATCTTTTATTTATTTCTCTCAGTATATATAATTTTGATAGTAACAAATCAACCCATTTAAATTGAAAAGGAGCCCCAGTCAGATGGAGAATTCAGAACCTGAAGAAATCTAGACTTGCTTCATTTAGGGCATTAAGGTTGCAAGGAGGGCTAGGCAGTTGGGAAAGTAATGTAGTTTAGGGACTGTGACACAGACTGTGGTCAGCCCTACAACTGTTGGGGCCAGGGATGCTGGATTTATTTGAGTCATTGAGTTGTTGTTAGCAGTATTCCAGCTATATGACAACGGTGTGTAATAATTGAGTATGGGCCAGACAATCCAGTGATTAACAGCATGAACATCGATCTACACAATTGGGATATGATGACATGTGTCAACCAAGTCAGCGAGCCTGACCACCCAATACGGTTAGTTGCCTTACGACAAGCATAGGTTACTGAAGATCAATTCTAACCTGGATCAGTAAGGGTCAGGGGGGTGAGGGATGCTGGGTTTAAGTGAGTCAGCAGTGGTACAGAAGATGACCTGGAACCTCGTGGTGATGACTGATGTATAATACAGTATATAGCCTGACACTATTGGGATCAGTTTTGGGTCAGTTCAGTCTATCTCAGCTGACACACTCCACCGAAGGCTCCAGCAAGAAGGGTACCAAGAACATCAGAAGCTGACCTGACTGAACACATCCATCAATCATCCCACCAGTTATCTGCACCATAATGACAAATTCTTGACAGAAATTTCACTTAGAATGAGACATGGGTCAAAACATAAGAGCAAACAATACAAACATTCAACATCTGGCCTCATCCATACCACACATATACAAGAGGGTGACACAAATTCGTTTCTGGGACAGATAGGGGGTAATTATGATTGACTATTGGAAACAAGGATGCACTATTATTAGCAATGCCAAAGAAATAGTTGAAAGAAGCTATGAATGAATGAGTTTAGTTTTACACCACTTTTAGCAATATTCCAGCAATATCTCAGTGGGGGACACCAGAAATGGACTTCACACATTGTACCCATGTGGGAAATTGAACCGGGTCTTTGGCCTGACAAGTGAACACTTTAACCACTAGGCTACTGAGAGAAGCTATGAATGAATGAGGAAAAGGCTGTTCGGATGTGCTACTACCTATGCCTGTGCCTGTGCCTGTGCACTGGCAACAGCTGGAGACAGTGGCCTTGAATTACTCCCTAATGCCCCTGACCTTCCAAACACAGACCCTTCTGACATCTGGCATTTCTAGTGGTCAGGAACAAGAAGGGAAAAGCATTGTACTATCTGTATTATGTCGTGCTTGAGAATATTTCGCTCATATGACGACGTGCATTCGTGTGTATGTGTGGCTGCTTGTACTAGCCCAGACTTAAGCTGGTTTTATAGTGCTAGCCCACTGAGATACCATGCCGCAGTGAAGCATGAATACCCCACTAAGACACATTATACTGACTCCGTGCCGACCAGTCCTTGTACCCATGAATGCTGAGCGCCAGGCAGGGACCAACGAGTACCATATTTTAACGTCTTTTGGTATGATGCGGTCGGGGATCGAACCCGCCACCTTCTGCTTTCCGGGCGAACGCTGTAACCACTACACCACGGAGGCGGTCACTATCTGTATTGAAGTCAAAGAAAATCAAACTGAAAATAACCTGTCTTAAAGTTTGATCAATGAATATTTTCTATATGGAGCCACAAACTTTGCAAAATGACCTTGTAGTGTGAAATATGGAGCCATGAGCAGAGTCATCAGCAGATGACCTTGGCCTTGACAGTGGTTACCTTTAAGCTCAGCTACAGACTGTCTGTATTTATTCTGGACAATGTCAAACAAACTAGTCTAGTGGCTGATACTGTGAACACAGATATTATGACAGTAAATCAGCTATGTGACATGTGACAGATAACAGTGAATGGTTCTGGTATACAAAGACAACACACACACAAGACACTGGTCCTTGATCAGGATTTTAATTCAGACCCTCACTGCAGTCCCAAGTATCTGTAAAACAAATGAGTGCTTGAGTGAGTATGGCTTTATGCTGCTTTTAGCAATTTTCTAGCAATATAACAGTGGGGAACACAAGAAATGGGCTTCACACATTGTACCCACGTAGGGAATCGAAGCCGGGTCTTCAGCATGATGTGATGAGTGGATGCTTAACCCAAAACGAACCCACGACCATGTAAAACAAATGAGAATATGTACAATTATATGACTGCTTGAAATACACTGTCAAACAGGATCTGAGAAACAATCTGGATTTTCTTGATGCATATCAATCTCAATCGAATATTTGAAAAAGAGAGTGCCATTCACTTTGGAAAAAGGGTACGAACAACTTGCCGTATATGTGGCGATATATACAGTAGTTATTGATTGAAAATATTCGTCATAAAAACTTGAATTTAGTTGTATTCCAGGCACCCATGTGAAAGTAAATAATTAAAGTAACAATATATACACCAATTTTTTTCTCAGAGGATTGATTCGGGTTTTGTCTTATTTTTGTACATCACTCATTTGTACCATAAAAACGTGAGCCATGTTGATTCAGGCATTAAATATTTCTGTGACTATCACACTAAGTCTGGAATTAATCAAGTAAAATGTACATATTCCCAACAATCCGTACTCCCAATGTTCAGACTGTTTATATTCAATTTGACATAACTTGTACAATACTTCAACAAAAATAAGAAATTCAAAATTAATTTTCACAAATAAATACACACAACTCCCAAACACTCCCACTTTCAACTCCAACAACACACTCCATCAAATGGGCATCATCTATAAATCATGTCAAAACATCACAGAAAAGAACAAACAGGTCTCAATGGACAGTATCCTACTTATCTGCCAGCAAACCAAATACAGCAGTTCTTGTTTGGGAATTGCCTCACCAAACAAAAAGACACAATCAATACACTTTAAAAGATACTTGTCAAAACTATTATGTTGAGAAATAACAATCTGTTTCAAATGACTTACAGAGTAACCAAAAACACTCAATATCTACAACATCCTTCACGGGATGCACAAAATTGTTCTAAAGGTCACGTGAGAAATTCTGAGCAATTCCGAGCAAACCCCCGCAGCTCTCACAATCACAGTGTCCAATGGAAGAGGAAGAATGTTCAAAATTTGAGTCTGGTAATTGGGTGAGAAAGCAGGACTATCATTTATACTTAATCAAGGGCCATGAAAACCCTTTAGGCTCCCTCAGATTGCTCCATCAATGGAGCTTCTGTATCTTTCTTCTCAGGCAAGGCACGGCAGAGGTTTACTGATTGGCTGACACGTTCGGAGTAATCCGGGACGCATCATGTCACCAGTGTATTAGATTCTTACTCAACTGCTACAGGGCTGTGGAGACATTTATTCATTGGAGGCAGATGTACTAATAACAGACAGTTTGTCCAAATGATTCCAGTCTACGTCAATGAAGTGCAAAAAGCTGAGAGGCCCAGAAAGTCCTTTATAATTTCCAAAATATTGAATAATATATATTTTTTACATGCATAGTCAGTAAGAATTAGATGATGCAATTTCAGTCCTGGAATCAGATGAAGGAAGTGGTATCTTGCATGTAAACCCCTTCTCAAGGCCAAGCTGTAAATTAATAGTGCTGAACAGTAAATGAAGGGTATCCGACTCTGTGCTGTAGAAGTGAACGCCTTGATGCTTGGGCGGAGATTCTTGGTGATGCAGGCTCACAGTATCAAACACAGCATCACTTAACAATCTTTAGAGATGGATTTAGACCTGACGTACTGTAACTCTGATAAATATATGACTTGTATACACTGCTAAACTGACTGACTGAGTTTAGTTTTACGCCGCTTTTGCAATATTCCAGCAATATCACGGCAGGGGACACCAGAAATGGGCTTAACACATTGTGCCCATGTGGGGAATCGAACCCGGGTCTTCCGCGTGACGAGCCAACGCTTTAACCACTAGGCTACCCCACCGCCCCCTATACACTGCTAAAGCTGGGAATTAAAAAAAGAAGAATTCACAGTATAAATTCACAGTCAATGAATGTAACATACATCTCTCAAACTGTATTGCATCAGACAGTATTCCAGAAATATCATAGCAGGGAACACCACAAGTGGGATTCACAAACTCTACCTGAGACTTACTCCTCGCCTCTGAAAAGAACATATTTAAAAAAAAACACTCTTTCTAAATTATGTTCATAAAATATAATAAAAAGGAGTACAGATATTTTGTCTTTAATGATTCTAACCAATTCTAACCTGGATCTTCACAGCTCATGGTGTAGATTGGAGTATAAACCTCAACAGAGTGTCGGCCAAACTGAATGTTACAACAAACAGCTTGAATAAGCATCCCACTCAAAAGAAAGAGAACTACTTCAGAAAGTCACAATGCGACATGTCATTATACATTTACATGTAGTTCCAGACTTACCATTTGACATGATAAACCTGACGGGAGATATCTAAATATTTATTGAACCTGTGGTGTTTGTAAGTGTCTGTTGTCATTACTCCAGGAATATGAACGTCGCCCATCAGCCTGCACATCACCTTAATAGTCTTGCAACATGTATGTCTGTGTGAAAATGTCAATCATATGTTTATGAATGTTAGTTTTAAAGTGATGTGAATGGCCTCCCTTCAAATGGAAAACCTGTACATCATGTAACCTTCACTTTTACAAATCTATAAACTGATAAAAACGCTTTTTTCAATGCATGTCAATAATAAAACCAATCTCAAATGATATAGCGGTAACCATATTTGTGATTATAAAACCAATACTTGTGGCACATATGAGGATGACTGTCAAATGATCCAATCTATCAATCAGTTTGAACAGACAGTGATTTTTCCATCATGCAAAGAACATGAGGATATTCAAAGTGTCAAAGCTATTGGCAGATTTTATTAAGAGTTAAATGCAGTGGAATAAACTTTTCTCTCATTGTCATTGTGCTTTGAAGGCAGCCATTTCAAGGCTCAAACCAGTTATGCATGTCTTACTGAAATGCTTCTAAAACGTCTACACGCGTTTAAGTCATCATAGAAGATATAAACATTATTGTCTGCATTTTTTCAAAGAAAAACAAGAAAGTAATTACAGGCAATCCATATCCTACAAACACAAAGTGAGTGAGTGAGTGAGTGAGTGAGTGAGTGAGTGAGTGAGTGAGTGAGTGCAATGTGTGTGCAATATTCTTGGGTCAGCATTTCTTAATCATTACAGTGTTCTGTAACAAGCAGTTGTCAATAAGGTGACATAATCCCCCGCGACAATTTATCAAATCAAACTTAAAAAGTAATGAAAGTGAAGGTCGAAGGTTAAGATGAAGATAAATGTCAACAAAAACATGACCAGTCAACCTCTCTTGGTATCTTGATCTGTAGCTGTCAAACACACAAATATTTTCAAGACTCACTTTGACCTTGACATGAATGTCATGGTGTATGAAACATGCAAAAAATAGTAATAAAGAAGTGTCATATTACTTCATTCCATCCGCTTATGATGCACTCCTCCACCAAACCCAACATATTGTATAAACATCTCACCTATTGTATAAACACCTCCTTCATTGTAACTACTCCTGTATTTGTACATCTCTGGCTTCCATTCACTACCCTTTGTGTACTCACTGGCTTCATCAGCTTACTGCTTAACCAATTATGGCAATTATGTTGTTTTCTTTGTCAATTATGTTGTCTCATTGTTATATTCAGTATATATATATATATACATCTCCTCCACTTCATGTATCACTTTTGCTTGACACCGGTTCAAGAATCTGTATCGAAACGTCGCACTCACGAAATAAAGAAGTTGTTATCCATAAAAAATTGTTCTATATTGTACGTCTCAACTTCTAAAATGCCACTCAAATAAACAAAGAAAGAAACTTCTTATCAAAAACATTCAAGAGAAGTCTTGAAAGCTTAACATGCTGAAATCTTCAAAGTGTCACTGTGACCATGAAAATTATGTGAAGGTCACCGAAATCAACAGGGCCTTGCACCTCCTCCAGATGAAGCTTG